ATATTTAAATTTTATTTTTTATAATTTTATATATTTCAGATCTATTGCTACAAAATTCGGTGTAGGGAGGGCTATGGCTTTTCGAGCATTATGGCGAGTGACTTATACTCTTCATTGTGTGGCACCTCGTTTTATTAGATGGCCAAGAAATCAAGTTGCTTTAGATGTGATTGAGCGATTCCAACGATCATGTGGTTTTCCTAATGTTATTGGCGCCATTGATGGAACGCATATTAAAATCCGAACTTCCAATGAAGATGCAGACTCCTACATAAATAGAAAAGGCTTTCACTCCATGAATGTTCAAATGATTTGTGATTCTCGAGGGTTATTTACGCATTGTTACGCGGGACAGGTGGGATCTGTGCACAATGCTAGAGTATTTCGGAACTCGCCGGTAGCTCGATTTCTCTCGTTACCCGAACAATATTTTCCAGAAGATTCTCACATCATTGGAGATGCTGCCTATAATATTCACCCGAACATTATGGTGCCATTTAGAAATGGGCATCTAACCCGTCGACAAAGAAATTTTAATTTTTGTTTATCATCAACACGAATGGCTATTGAAAGAGTGATAGGGCAACTCAAAATTCGTTTTAGAATATTACTTGATTGTTTGCCATTAACAGATACCAAGAAAATCCCAGAATTTATAATTGCGTGTTGCGTATTACATAATATTTGTTTACTACAAAACGACGAAATGGTTATAGGTTTAGTACAACATGACGATGAAGCAAACATTGTATGGGATAATGCGGGTAATGCAAATAATGCAGGGAATGAGAAAAGAAATAAAATTATGAATACTTTGGAAATGAAAGTACAATGAAGTTAATTTTGTGTACCAAACTTCTGTTCTCAATATTTGTAACGAACAATATTTAGAGTAGATTTTAGTAGTTTTTAGAGTAAATTTTAGTTATTTTAGAATAAAATTAAATTTTCTTCCTTGCTTGTTTTTGAATTTTCAGATTTAAACATATTATTTTCATATCAACTCTCGACCTTTCTCTTCTCTGTTGCATTAATATGATTAATTATAGAAAATACTATTAAATAAAAGTATATTCTAATTTTAAGGCCACAATATACATATGTTATTATGAAAAATAAATAATTATTATTTAATTAACTATTTATTGTATTTATATGCTTTTTTTATCCTTTTTGTAACTCTCAAGTTAATAGGCTCCAAAAATTGATAAAAACTTGATAAACTGACAAATAAAACCTTAATAAAAACTTTTTATTTTTGAATAAAAAATTTTAAGTGTTTGTCAATTTGTAAAGCCTGCTAACTTGAGAGTCACAAAGAATTAACGTTCTCGAGTTACGGTATTTATGGAATTTGCGTGAATATGTTTACAAATGATATGTTTGAGAAATAATTAGATTATCAAAATTTACTTTATTAAGTATTTGTCTTACATCTTTGGTAGAAAAAAATTTATACATTTTTAGTATACAAACTTTAGAACACATCTTAGAAAACTCCTAAAACTTAAACATTTTAGAACACATGTTTAGAACTTTTAAACTTAAAAACTTTAGTGCACTTTTACAACTCTTAAAACTTATAAACTTTAGAACATGAACTCTTTAAAATAATTAGAAAACTTATTACTTATTAAATACCTTACTCATCTTACTTATTAACTAATTTGTTTAAAATATTTATCAAAGATTTAGATATTTCCATTTTTTCGTTATATGCATTTTCAAACGATCACGTCTTTCTTCATCGTATTTCGCTTCTCGACTTTGTTGACGAATTTCATTATTCTCGATCCGTTTTTTTACAATCTCTCTTTCCTCACGAATATTGACTATGAAATTTTCTAATATGCTCTCAACCTTTCTCTTCCTAGTTGAATCTAATATGGTTAATTATAGAAAATAATGTTAAATAAGAGTATATCCTAATATTATGGCCACAATATACATATGTAATTATGAAAAATAAATAATTATTTAATTAAACATATAATAATACAAATGGAAACACTTTATTTACAGATTATAGACCTACAGTAATTATAATTTCAGATTTTCTATTAATTTTTTGTAAGCTTTGCAATAATGATAAACGAAGTTCAATTTCATGTGAATTTTAAAAATACTTACTTTGAACTTCAGGAGTTGAAGTTGAAGTGTATATATTCGAAGTCGATGGTGTCGGTGGTAGTGGACCATCGCTGGATGCCTCAACAGGCGGTTTCGTGGATGCTTTTTTTCCAAATATTGAATCCATTATCTATTAAAATAAACAAACTATTTTATTATATTTTCGTTGCTTTTGAATTACCGAAAATTGCTAATTACAGAATAGAATTCCCACGAATTTCGACCATTGCCACTTTTTTTATTTTGGTCGATAATATTTCGATATGTTCGCTTTAATCCAGATAATTTATTAGAACATTGTTGCCCCGTCACATTGTAAGTGTTACTTGTTTCCATCATTGATGCAGCAATCTCTTTCCACAAAATATTATGTTTTTTAAATGAGGTATTAAACATTTCTTCCTTTTCTTTGTATAATTCTAGCAGAAGATACACCGCATTATCTGGCCACATAAAATTTTTTGCAGCATCTGAAAATATCATTAAATTATTGGGATCAGTGCAATTATAGAATTCTTCTTCGCATGCCATACGCTTGTCATGTAATAATTGAATAAATTAAGAAATAGGACGAAATTTTTCATTAAATAATTTTTTAAAAACAAAGTTTATGAGAAGATACTTAAAAAAACAAAAACAAAAAATATATATTTAAAAAACAAACCTATATCTTTCAAATTGTTATCCATGGTTTCATTTGGTAAGTCAGTAAGTATGGTTTCAGTTGTAGGGCTGTTAGCAGGCAATTCAGTTCCTGCATTTTTATTTAATGTTTTGTTGATTAACTGTTGCAGGAAGTTTTGATCTGTATTGAAATGATATATTAATTTAATTAATATTGATTAATTTCTAATTAAAATTACGATTACGATTAGTTGTTTAGCATTCGTCGACTAAGTACCGAGACACTACCGTGTCTCCAGATGCTGAAAACAGAACAAAATAATGGAAATTGGTTTGCGGGTGCGTTCTAATATCACTTAATTCATCAAAATTACACTTGAACAGACTCGAAACACACTCTGACTCTGCTCCCGAGCAGAGGCGAAGTGTGTCGATTGAGTTTGAACAAAATTGTAAATGGAAAGCGACGTGTGTTGATTTGTGTCAAGTGTGTCGACTGTGTCTCCTAAAAGGAAAGCAGCCGAAGTTTTACTTCGAGTAGCTAATGCGCTCCTCATGCGCTAATGGTGGGGGGGAATCTGGGAAATTCCATGCGGTACCAATGCGCGCATTACATGAAACGGAACAATTGTCTATGTAATCTATGCGTATCATGCGAGAAACGGAACGCACCCACAGGCAATAGGCACAGGCAACAGGGAATAACGAGTCGTCCAATCAGAGCTTTGAGGTATAAGTTCGTGTTACGTCCGCGGTACATATAAAACTTGTCCAGAAATATCCTCTGGCAAATCACAAATTTTCTTTACCTCAATAGACCGGCAGGGCACGAAAACCGCCGGGACCGCTCCTGGGGCTCTATTCTTGAAAAGCAACGTATACGAAAGTCTAGGGAAATGCTACAGTATACGTTACATATACTGTAGCATTTCCCTAGACTTTCGTATACGTTTCTTTTCAAGAATAGAGCCCCTGACGCCTTCCCCACCACATGCGCCCTACCAGCGTGGAAGGGGATCTTTTGAAAATGCCCTCGGGATAACCGAGTTAGTTAGTTAGTAAGTAGAAGTAGAAGTAGTAAGTAAGTTGTTAGTTAAGAGTCGTCGAGTTCTTAAGTTCCGAGGCCGAGGTTCGGTCAAAAGAAAAGGTCTCTTCCAGACCATCGCGATTTCTAATTCAAACTCAAGTCCAACAGATTTCCATTTCTATTTTCTATTAGTAACTTCATCTAGTTATATAAGTAGATTTTACTTAACTTTATTAATCTTAACCGCGTTAAATACTAAGTTGTAGCTTAATCGTGTACTTGATGTAATTTAGTGATCATAAAATATACAAGTTATTCTTTTTGAACATATACAAATACGTGCGTGCAATTTATCTCGACGAAACCTTCCTTTCGTAACCGGCATTCGTCGCGCGTGATCACTCTTTACTTAAATTCGCGAATTGGATGTGCGAACGAGTGGCAATCAGCATTGAACCAATCTCCACGCACCAACGACGGGCCTGACCAACCAGAATCCGAACCGGCCTGCACGCGCTGTACCACGAATCGCGCCATCGGAGAGCTGTTGCTGGGACTCACGAGACAATCACCGTATGGTAAGTGCAATTTATGTCTCACTTCACGGTAACGAAGCTCTAAGTGGATGTAGCATGTGCCCTGGGGATCTATTCTTGAAAAGAAACGTATACGAAAGTCTAGGGAAATACTATAGTACACGTAACATATACTGTAGCATTTCCCTAGACTTTTGTATACGTTGCTTTTCAAGAATAGAGTCCCTGTACATCCATTTTCGCGCCTATCCGCCGCCGGCCGCCTCATTGATATAGACCCTTACTTCGCGTGGGTAACTAGCGCCTGCTGCGTATTAGTCTTGATATACCGTAATAAGGAAGCTGATGATAACAAGTGTCCTGAATGTTACACCCTATTACCGGCCGCCGAAAAGCCTAAGTATTTAGGAACATTACGGCACTACATCCACCTAGGATTTGCCAAAAGATTCGAAGTTTGCAGCGCATGTTCGTTCAGTGTCATTGGCTACTGTCCGCCACATCTCAAATTGTCGCGATTGCCCGGAAGTCCTAGAAAAATTCACTCTTTTTCTAAATAGAGCGGGAGATACTCTCTGGATATCTCAAGATTTGACTATACTCGCCGTGTCGAGCACCCCCTTTTAATTCATTTTAGTGGTTAAAACTGGACAAATCTCACATCCCCTTATCTTTGCCGATAACAACCGCGTAATCTTGTACTCATTACTAGTCCCAGG